CCATGGGAAGTGTGACTGTGGGAAGTGCAAATGTGATGAAGGCTGGTATGGTGAAGCTTGTCAGTATCCAACTACTTGCAATCTTACACGGAAGAAAAGCAATGAAATGTGCAAGAATTCTCAAGATATCATCTGTTCTGGTGCAGGTAAGATGTCTTTTGTTGCTTTTGATGGCTTGATGTTCTCCCTGTGTTATCTGGAGAATCACTGTAATTTCTTTTCTACTTAGGAATTTTGTAGAGTATGTTTCAAGAGACTGAGAAGTAACTGTGTGTATACTAAAATGCTTAATTTTCCTATAGGCCTATTCCTGTGCATATGATGTGCACTGATTCAGAATGCCTACTTTTGTACTCTAGTTTATCCATAGCTATTTTAGGTTGATGAAACTGCAGCTGTGTCATGTATTTTGCCCATCAAAAGGTTATGGTAATGGCACTAACACAGAAACTGATGTCATTGTTTGTGTTTGTGTTTATAGCATGCAGAAATGGCATTTGCAAATATTTTTCCAGGACATTTATAAGCTGGACAGTTTTTTGAGACACTTTTGAGCTCTAACAATGATTATTAAAAACAGTTCTGGAAGATCTGCTGAGCCATTTCAATGGGGTACTTCATCTTCACTTTTCTGATTTGATAACTCTCTTTTCTCTAATTCCTTAATTTTATAACTCGTCCTAACTTAACTAGGAATGTCCTTTCCTTAAAAAAAATCAGAGGAAAAAGAAACGGCCTTTTAGCAGACTTCACAGCAGAATGGTAAAATTTTGAAGGGCAGTTTCTACCAGTCAAGGTTTGAGACCAGAAACTGCCCTCCAGTTTTTCCATCACATTGATCTCCGAGTGAGAGAATGTTTCAGGAACCCCACTTCTGCTCACTATTGCTGGCCTTTAATTTCTGTCTGGGTCCATACATTTGCATACAACTAACTTTCTCGAAAGGTAGTTGCTGACATGAGCAAAGAACCGAAAGGATTTGTGGGACTTGCTACAGAGAAGCTAGGCTCTCACAACAAGATGTGAAACCAATTTAATGTAAAATTTTAAGCATACAGCATACTGGGTAAAAGATACATTTCATTTATGACAATAATATAGATTATATGAAACTCGTGATTGTTTGGCTAACAAATGAGAGACACCTAAATGAGAAACTGTCTCTCAAAAATAAGCATAGTTCCTTGTGATCAGTCAAAGCACTTAAACAAGGTTGTTAACACCTTTTTTTCTCTTTCTTTCCTTGGCTAGAAGTGGCCCCTGTCTGTCTATCACTGAGTCTTCACAGGAAAACCAACGTAGCTGAACAACCACTAAAAGTGGCTAAGAGGGGAGTGTTTGTGGGATAAGAAGAATAAATGCTTTCGGTTTTGCTGGTATTAAACAGGACAGGAATTCCAATGAGACTGGCTAGGGAGTTTGGGGTAACTTTGATGGGCTGTAACCATACATATTTTGTCTTCATGGGATTGTCTTTTGATCTACTGCCAACATTGCCTTTGGGGTCTGAGCTCTGTTTTTTAATTGCCAATGAAAGATGGAAAGGGATGACATGAGTTGCTGCAAAAACAGTCCTCTGCTGTCACACAGCTAACTATTTATTGTAATTCTTTTCATGAACCAATCAAGATCCACCTAAAATTTAATTTTTCTCACTCAACTGTTCCTAATCATTTGTCAGAGCAACTAGGGCATCCTACCTAAACCAAGATTCTCTATGTGAAAAATTTCCACTTCTAGTCAATGGGAAATAATGGACACTTTTAGGACACAGTCTGTCTGGCCTCTTTAGATGCCCAATTTATGAATCAATTTGCCATTTTATCTTTTTTCCTGTTTGGGAATTATCTGTAAACAAGACAGTTTTCTCAAAAATTTTATTTGTATTTATTTTCCAAGTAATTGTAGCAAATAATTCTAGTTCTGTAGGTTACTTATGTTGTCTTATCAGTTGTATTATTATTTTATTATATTAGCTCTTGCAAACATTTTTAAAGTTTACTTTTTTAGACTGGCCATGTATGTCGCAGAGCCCCATTCTTCTGTTCTTCATTTGGATTAATATGAAGTTTAGTAAAACTTGTACTATACTTGTAATGGTGAAATGTAAAATGGCTTCTGCAAACTAGTTGTGTAATGTCAGCATAAAACTTCTATTTTGGAGGACTTCTTTTGTATCAATAACCATGTTTTCTAAAATATGTATGGTTGTAACGTGAGGGGTATGAGTCTTGTGAATTAAGTTCCTTTTTTTTTAAATCTATACTTGCTGGCATAGTGACACCAGTGACTGCTGAAACAGCTTGTGCAAGCCCATTGACCACAGGGCCCCAGTTTAACATGGTATTGCACAAAGGTCCTACCCTTACAATTTTCATAAAGGTGTTAGAGGTAGGGAAAAGGGGTGTCTTATATGACCGGCATGGTAATACTTTTGTTTCTAACGTGATTTTATAGTATCTTTGTTTTTTTGACTGTAGAACTCCTTATTATGTTTATTTATGGCTGTTATATGTTATCATGCATTATGTTCCAAACTAGAAAATATTCAGGAGGAGGAGGAGAGGGCAGCTGTTTGCTTCGCCCTGGCAACTGCACTCCAGGTCAGATAGACTCTCTGAGGGGAAAGGGGGGATTCTTCCTTCCCTGGGAGCAATAAAACAAACTTTTACTGTTTGGGAGGGTCGGTCATGGAGAGAGGCAGCCACTTAGGTGACGGGGCAACCGTACTCAGAAGACCAAGAAGCAAATGTGCGACCAGACCAGAGGTGACAGAAGAGAGATCTGTTTACAAACCCATTTCCATCCTTTGCATCGCCTGAGCGCTCTGGCTTTTCCTAATGTCAGAAAGTTTTCTGTTGTGGTTTATGTTGTGAGAAAAAACAGCTCTACACTTCCAAAGCATTTGGGAGTCCCGGGGGTATTTACATTGAAGGAGAAGCTCAGGCAGACCCATGTTCTCAAACCACTCGCTGGTCTGACATGGGTAAAACCCATCTTACTTGTGACAAATCAGCAAGTGTCTTTATTGTAGCTCTTAACGTTCTTGCAAGATCTACTCTTTTCTGAGACATCACCCACAAACTGAAGAAAAATGAGCCCTAAAAGCTTAGATTGGGTCAAAGTCCTGAAATAACAAGTTGCTATTATAGAGGTTCCTACAGTTCTCCAAATGAATGAAATAACTTGTAATGTGGACATCAATACCACTGGAAAAACATGCACTTTGCAGTAAAAATGTTGATATGCTATTATAATACCTTATGGTTTGTTTAATAATGCTATAAATGTATTTCTCCGCAATTAGCTTGTCTGTTGTATAATTAATGTATTGCTGCAGTAACTGCTTTCTAGCTTGAGTCTTTTTTTCCTGACATCTGATCATAAGGTCTTCATGCAGATGTTCCTCACCAATGTTTCCTTCCTTTGAGTCCTGGCTTTTTCTCCAAGGCTATACTTATAAAATCTTAATCCTCAGATGATGGTTGTAGACAAGGGACTGGAGACTAGAGTCTCCAGCAAAGGAACTTCGTGAATTTAGGCAGACGTATTTTCAGGTCCTCAGTAGCCATGCCCTGTAACTCTCATGTAACATGGCTGTGGAGCTGGACAAAACCAGGCTTCATTCTTGAGAAGACGACTAAATTAAATTTTCTCCTTTCAGTAGGCAGAAGATATAATTTCCAAAGCTGACTTCATACCTCAGTTGCATGAAGTCAGACAGACAACTCTAGGAGTGAATTTTACTTAGGAAAATATGGTGCTCCTTATTAAAAATGAACCACTTGAATGTTGTATCTATTTACAGCTAAGATTAGGCTTTTTGTTGATATGGATTGTTTCGGTGTCTGTCTTTATTTGGCCAGATGATTTTTAGATTTCAACCTTCTCGGAAATAAAACATGTACCATTTCTGATGGACTAATGAAACTCTTTCCATAAACTGCAGTCATTGAGTACTGTCTTAAATGTTTACAGGCACATGTCAGTGTGGCAGGTGTAAATGTGCAAACTCAGAAGGAAATGGACTGGTCTATGGTAAATTTTGTGAATGTGATGACAGAGAATGCATAGATGATGAGACAGAAGAGATTTGCACAGGTATGTATTTTAGTGAGTACAAGAAGAATGGTGAAGATTAATACAGGCTGTTATAAAATCATTTAATTGTGTGGACCTACAAAATGTCTTTACTGAATGTATGACTTAAAACTATATTTGCAAGAATTTAGCTTGCAAATTGTAAGTGGGAATTTCAGATGCAAAAATGAGCTAAGCAGGAGGTTAAAGAATGAAGAAATCCTGTGACATCCTCCTCTTTTTGGAAGAACTGCAAAGAGGATTATACAAGGTAATTCACTAAGGTAATTCATAGCTTAGTGTGTCTGTCTTCAGTAGAATATAAGAAATGTGCCTGCTTTGTGGCACAGATGAGAGCAAGATGGAGGACATAAAAAAAAAAAAACCCAAAAAAAGAAAAATAGATTATTAAGAATTTTGTCAAGGAAGCAAAAATTAAAAAGAACAATAAAAAATGTAGGATGAGAACTCAGAAGCAGTTCAGGAGATAAAAAGGGAAAGGAATGAATGAAGAAAAATTTCATCTGTGATAGGAAAGGCAAGAGAATAAGATGGAGTGAACTCTGCTGATAGATAGAAAAGCAACAAAAATTCAAAAAATTTCATTTCATTATAAGATAGTAACCTGGCAATTAAATATTGTGCAATACACACCATTTATGGCATTATAGATGCTGTTGCCTGTGTTACTAGGGAGGCTTGTCCTTGAGCTGGAAGGTGCTACAAATATTTTTCAAGCTATACACATGCATACTGTGTCTGTATGCATACAGGAGGGTTCAGAACTGCTCTTAGACTATTCATGCTCTCATAATAGTGCTTGCTCTGTGTGTGTGTGTATAATGATAGAGAGTACTTGTGTAAAATAGCTTTATCTGTCTTTATCCTTACACAGAGAACAAAATAAATTCTATTTATATAAGTGCCATTGAAGGCAAAAAGAACTTTTTTTTTGCATAGGATTAAGTAGGGATTTTAAATGAGGGTAAACAGAATGGTCCTCTGAAGTCCAAATCCAGGAATAGAGTACAATATTTCCAGTAATTGCCTAAAATGAAATGAGTGCAGGGCAATAATTTTTATGTGCCAGTGATTCCATTTATATTTATTTGCTTGTCACCATTGCATATGGTACCAAATATGATAAAAATTTACCATTTATTTAGTTCCAGTAAATTCTCCTTCTGCTGTTTTTGTCAGGTTTTTTTCCCTACCTGTTTTGCTGCTGGTTTATATTGTTAGTTTTTTCTTAGCTTTTATTTCCCCTTGTTTCATCCAATGGTGTCATATTCCAAAACAGACCAGATGTAAAAAACTAGTCTTATGTGTATGCAGAAATCGAAGTATGCTGGTATAAAAGGGCAAAAAAATGTTGGTAGATTGACGTCTCCAAGGTCTGTGATTCATCAGTATAAAAGCCCTGATACCTTCTGTAAGGTTTGGAGCCTTCTAAAGTAAATATAGGTAAAGAATATAAAACTAGTGGTGTGCTTGACTTGGTTAGGTTGTTGTAAGCCGAAAAGTTTATGCACGTAGGTTATGAGTGTTAGATTTTGTTTTGTTTTCTAACAAACCTCTACAGTACATAACCATATGTTGAACCAGGCCTTATGCAGAAGAAATGGACAGCACATGAACTGAAGGTCAAAGGTACATAATTTCATCACAGAAAAAGCAGACCCCACATGCCTATCGGTTATTGCTTCTCTCTCCCATCCCGATGTCTCCTTTAATACCCTCTATGCGGTCTTTCTTTCTGCAAGATTTCCACCACAGGAATCATTTACATTTATTTATGAAGTAATAAAGAAACAGCGTCCAACCCAGTTCTGCTCAGCTAGCAATGGCCCCTGGATACTCTCCACACACAGGCTGGACCTAATCAATGCCTGTTGTACTTTCACAGTTTGTGTAGCACCTACTTAGTTGCTACATACCCTTCATTGCCCTTGAAGGTATAGGCAGATCTTGAAGATTTTAATTGTCTTCAAAGAAAGCCAACTCAGGAGGATCAAACTAATGAAAACACAAAAGCTTCTGTTTACACACGTTTCTAAAGCCTGCAGCTGTAGGCTGGGATTTTATCCTGGAAAAACATACAATGCCATGCTGAGATATGGATAATGTGCATTTTAATCTTTGCACAAGGGGACTGCAATTTTTAAGCAAATCAATTCTTAGGTAGGGCAGAGTTACAAAGATGCATCAAGCATTTTTCCAGCCTCAGTTGGATTTTGATCAGTCAGTTGACTGTATCACTTTTTATTTAAGGTTACATAAACCTTGGAATCAAGTTGCAGCTTATTTTTAATACAGTATCATGGTTTCTAGCAAATTAAATTCTGATCCTGATCTTTTTTATCTAAGGCTTTTTTGCTCTAATGGAGTGATTATGTCTTCAGTCAAGAGCAAGAGGTAGTGGCAAATTGTATCATTTAATTCATATTTATTTGAGGACTATACAAGTGTGAGTGAAGAATGAAGTAGTGATGTTTTAATCTGCAAAAATTGCCAGTAGATTGAATTAATTTACTTCTTCACCATTTTCCCCTTTATTTCTTGTCCACTGTTCAAGAACAACCTTTTGGTAATAAGCATCATTTTATACTGTCTTTCTTGTTTAGTTATCTAAGTAAGCTGGTATTTTTACCTTCTGTTATTTTTTGACATGTAACCAAACAATTGTAATGAAAATTTCATGTGTAATTGTAAAAACAGGAAAAATTTTTATTCCACAGGTCTAAATTTGCACTCTTGATAGTTAAGGATATAAGTTGACCAGACTGTGATAGAGACGACCAGGACTACTAAGCTTAACATATGTAGAGGGAAAAAAGGACAAGATCCTGACTTGATGCTTCTAGTAAATAATTAACATGGCTTTAAGATTTATAAGAGTTGCAGCTACTTAATTTAAGTGCTTTGTGTCATTGAAGCACATGGCAGAAGTACCTTAGTGGATCAAAATGTTCAGGAGCTGGTTTCATCAAGCCTCAGATGACTCAACTATCTTTTGGGGAGATGTGTGGCTTGCTAAATGAACATCTAAAAGGTTCATTTTACTAATTCTTATCTTTCATGAACTGGTTTATCCGTGTTCAAACATCTTCTTAACAGGTAAGAAGGGAAGCCATATACCATGTAGACAGTTCGTAGTAAATCAAGGTCCCTCTGCTGGAATTATCTGAGGAGTCAAGAACGCACAATGCTTTCTTAGACATGCCAAGTACAGTGGGCAAGCATGTCCTATCTTAACATTTAAAGCTGTGCATAAATTTTAACTGTTAGATTTACTGTCTTCCAAATTTACCTATAAAGTTTCAAAAATTAAGCTTACAAATATAAAAATATTGATGTTATTTTCTTAGTGTTTATTGATTAGATCTAATCTGTGATTAAATGAAAACGTTCTAAAATAGACTTGGGGAAAAGTATAATTCAGATAGCCTTTGTCTTATTTTATGTAGGCATATACGGTCTATAAATTGTTTCTATTTTGAGTCTAGCACTAAAAGTTTTTAAAAGAAAAGATCAAAACAGTTAAATTGTTAATGCCTTTTAAAAACTTGCTTCTTTCTCACTGTATAAAATTTGTTTTGGGTTAAGGCCATGGAAAGTGTTACTGTGGAAACTGTTACTGTGAGGCTGGTTGGCATGGAGATAAATGTGAATTCCAGTGTGACATCACCCCCTGGGAGATCAAGAAAAGATGCACATCTCCAGATGGCAAAATCTGCAGCAACAGAGGTGTGTCATTCGCACCTTCCTTCTACGCATATTTATATAGCTTGCTTTTATTTTACAATATGCATTTTCTGCAGTAGGACATAGATTGTGTTCGCTGATAGTTTCTTGTCTGTTCTCACTTATTTCAAATCTGGATATACATTTCCAAGTGAATGAGTAGATACCTGTGTTTAGGTATAAACTTACACAAATCCACATCCATTTTTGGATTAAGCTGACCCAAGTTGTTCTCATCCTTCATTTTTGTAGTAAGACTGAGCAGGGTAATTTGTTAATACATCTGCTTTCGTGAGAGACCTATCCTGCAAGATAAAATATTAGCAGATTTTTGACTTTGAATGGATTTGTGCTGTAAGGCCAACAGGACTGTATGTCAATTCACTCTTAAAGAAGATCAAGGACCCACAATTGAATAGGGAAAATGAAAACTCAAAGCTTTTAGTTTCCACTGCAACCTGAAAAAACAACTAAGAAGGGTTCAGTAACAATGCCGTGGAATGCATACAGAGCTGGAGAGGTGGACTTCACACAATATTTCTAACTACATGGGGTTTTATTTGCACAAAGTTCTGGAATTTGAATTTTACCTTATACTTCTGTCTAATTTTGCCATTTTGAAAAAAAAAAAGCACAAAATAAGGTTGCTTTTCACTAGCTGCTATGTTTGGCTTCATTGAACAAAGAGTTAAAAAAAAAAGTTATTTTTTTGGCAATAGTCCAGAATAATTACAGTAGAACATAAGCGCAAGTCACATAGATACCTCTCTTAAACAAGATCTCTACTGACAAAACCTGCTATAGTGAGAACATCTAATTATCCTGAGAGCATTTAGAAAACTCTCTTCTCTTAATTATGAGGAAATTGAAAGGTTGGCTCAAATACAGAGACCATGTAGGCTCATTTAGTCTTGGGACTTTAGCAGTAAAAAATTTTCTGTAATTCTGGAAATAATAAATATAGAAGTGGCTTCAGATCAGATGCTTTGTTTGCACCGAGGAAGTAATTTCTTGTCAAAGAATTTCTCGTCAAAGCAATTTTTTTATTCAAATTTGAAATTTTAATGTGCAAGTATTTCTTTAAATTTACATTGTAATTTGGGGAAATGAGGATAAATAGCATAGCTGATATTCTGAATAGCTACAAACTCCTATACAAAGGTACATTCTTGGGATACTTCTATATTTTTAGCCTTTCATGTGTTTGTGATTTTATCCACATAAAAATTTTGTAGGCTTTTGACTACACAAAGTTGCTTTCCAACATAGTTTTTCTACTCTCTTTAGTCCTATTTATCCAGTTTTCTGTGTTTATACATCTTGTGATATGGGTGCAGTACATCTTGTCAGTCTTGAGCCTTCTAAAAAATTAAATATCGAGTCTAACCTTGCTGCCCAGCCTCCTTCAGTGCTAAAATGGATAAATTGTTTCTATCTTTCCACCAACTGCCTAGTCAACCAGCTGAGACCAGATGTGAACCTTTAGATTTTTTAAACTTTGGTGAGATGGTGTTTTGCATTCCGATATCCAGGACAGCTGATTCAAATTCACTTTGAAGTTGTTTCTGGGAGGATTCGTCACTCTCCAGAGGCGTTTCCTCATTTTCTGGGGTTTTTTGTTTGGTGGTTGTTGTTGGTTTTTTTCTTCTCCTTCAGTAATGTCACTGAATTGTGAAAGTATGAAAAATCAGGTGCAAACTTCTTGAGGGCTGTCTTGGTGGCTTTAGCACTAAACAGGGCAGCAGCTCTTCCTGCTTCATGTAACTGTCATGCATGCACGATTGTGTAGACCTTCTCTTTTTAGAGAATGTGCCCATATCTATATGTACTCTTCAGTCACCCTGTCCTGTTGTCCTCAAATGCATTATATTGTTCAGAGTACTCTGAATAAGAAGACAAAGGCTTTGGTGGAGTAGCAGAAGGTGAAGCTACTCTCCAGGAAATGGACTGCATGCATCCGTAAGGTTAGGCTGCTTCTTTGTGCCTGTTGGCATCTCAGAAAAAGTAGTGAGTGTACGGCCCTGAAGCATATTCGGATTTCTTAATAAGGAAACTGTCTTTTTTTGTTCTGACTTTTCCTGAGTAAATACGATGTCTGTTCTCTGTGTATCAGTAAGGTTGTGCCAAATTAGTCTCTCTGTCATATTTCACATTTCCCTTCTTACTGTAAACAACAGGGTGTTGCCCTGAATATTGACTTGGGAAAAGTGGAAAAGTATCATTTTCATGTAGATCTGTGCTGATGTTCTTCTTAGGTAAAGAATGACCTCCTAGACATTTTCAGCTGGATTAGAATTTGGATTCCCTTCTAGTTTAAATGTTTATGCTTTAACAATCATTAATTATCCACTGTGCCCAAGCCCAAGTCATTTAAACAGCATTGATTTTTATTGTCATTAGTGTCAGGGCAAATTACTGTTGATGTCAAAGATTTATGACTGTTCTGTGCACTACATTTTTCTGTTGATTCCTAACAAGGATCAACAGCAAAAAGAAACTTGAACAGGAAGCCAACTTGTTTGTATAAAGTATTACTACTAAATAATCATAGAAGGTTTTAAATCATAGAAGATGAGCACACACTCGTGATTAACACTTGCAGCTTTGAAACTGCACTCCTGTGAAAGCAGAAAATTCACAAATGTAAATTCCTGTAATCAAACTACGATTACTCTAAATTGCTCAGTTAATCTTCTATCTCTGCCTCTCTTTTCTTCTTTTTCTCTTTCCTAGGCACATGTGTATGTGGAGAATGCACATGCCATGATGTGGACCCAACTGGTGACTGGGGAGATATTCATGGAGATACTTGTGAGTGTGATGAAAGAAACTGCAAAGCAGTGTATGATAGATATTCTGATGACTTCTGTTCAGGTAATGAATATATATAAAAGGAGCTTATGTGTAGTTTTATAACAAAAGCATCCAATTGGTCTGATCTTGCTCTTCCTTAGTGCTCCAATTCTCATTTTCCTAGCTTAAAATATACGAAGCTTTAGCTGTTTTTTTTGGGGAGTGGACTTTTTAAATTAAAAGACATAATTCTGTAAAAAAAAAAAAAAGTTACCAGTTCTAAAGCTTTCTTAAAACGTCTTTTTTTTCTATGCCTTTTAACAAAATTCTGTAAATACGAAATACTTTTAGGTGCCCATCTCCCTTCTAATACTCTTGTCCTCAGACAAGAGTACCATAAATTAAAGAATGGTTGAAACTTTAATATCTATCTATCTATCTATCTATCTATCTATCTATCTATCTATCTATCTATCTATCTCCTTCCTTGGGGAAATTTAAATTTGAAAATTTGTTAGATCAAATTTTGTTATTTCATGTTATATGGCAGGGAGAGGACAAGCAAGAGGAAGAAATTCAAGGAAAAGTGAATTAATGAAAAACAGTATCCTGAGAACACCAATTGACCTGAGAACAATTAGAGCATCAATATGTGGAAAATATGAATGTGTGGTCCAGCCACACATCACTGACTGTACATCTTAGATACTTTCACCTTCCTTTTTTCTTTTACTTGTACTTCAGAGCATTATATTCAAATTAGTTAACGCCCATCCAGCCATCCAAGGTTTGCAGCGTACATAGGTTGATGCTCCATGTATCAACTAACAAAAGCTGAGATTCTGAGTGAGACCTTGCATATGATTTTGTATAGTTATTGATAAAGATGCTAATGCTGGGCAGGAAAGAAGAACTTTGATCAATACACAGCATGCAATTTGTACACAGGAACTTTGCAAAAACAAATGAGGGTGGTTTCAAAGGGACTTGACAGATTACAGGTTGTCAGCTCTAATGCGTCCTGTAGAAATCTGATCTGGCCTAATTAATAACAGGAAGAATGCAGTCACATCAAGGAAAATAATGATGTGGTATATTCTCCTCCTATTACTAGAATGACATATCCATCATAGAAAGATCATAGGAGTTGTCTGTAATAGGGAGAGAAGGTTGAAACAAACACGATACATAAAATTCTTAGCCTCTTCTTTGCCTGTTATAAAGGTGAAAGGTTTCTCAACTGTTTTTTTTTTAATAAATATTGATGAATCACTAGCTAATAAAATGAGAAAAAAGAAGAAACATTTCTAAAAAACTTCAGTGAATTCATTTGCTTGTTATAGTTTCAGCCACCTACAAATGTTATATAGGTTTATTTAATTAATAAGCTGGAAGGATGTAGAACTGCAGTCATGAGAGCAGCAGGAGGATTGACTTTGGGATGTTGTCAATTTTTGAATGTATTATTGTGTTGCTGAGTATGTTTTTAGCACTCAGGGACTGATCAAAATGTCAGCAGCAGCTAAGGAATACAAAGCTAAAAACCAACATGGTAAATGTGTTCTGTAGTTAAGGGTGAACACTGGAGTTTCAAACCTCATTAGATTAAAGCAAACCTGGGCCATCTACAGCTAACGCTGCATCACTGAAACAGGGCTTGAACTCCCTCTTTCCTGGACATTATTGCCATTGCTGCTGCTGCTGCCCAGGGTGGTAATGGTTGTAAGAAAGCAGAGTGTAAGAAGGTATGGACAGTTGCAAAGGAGCTGGGGGGAAGATATTGCCATTTGACATTGGATCAAGGACTGGTACACTGTTCTTCATTACACAGACATAACTGTAAATGACCAAACCTTATGAAAGACACAGAAGGAGGTGCTCATATGGCTTGCTTGATGTAACTAAAACTCGTGTTGAAGTGTAGCTTAGTTTTTCTATCTAATCAGCAAAAATTTTAGTACTACTTCTTATTCTTATGTTTTAGAAAAGCCTAATTTAGCCTTAGCTGGTCATCCAAGTATGCGTTCCTCAAATAGATTGTGCAAAACTCTCCATTTTCACATGAAGCAGTGTGAACAATGTCTTATAGTCCTGCTGTTTAGTCCTGTTTCAGAAATGGGCAAGGTGCATAAGTATTAATTTTGGTTTATTGCGGTAGACAGACAGAATCTGCAATTAAATCAAAGATTTACTAGCAGAATTGTAACTGGACAGCTTTTTTATTTGTTTATGTGAAATAAATTTACTTAGTGCACAAAGTGTGCACGCATTAGGTCTGCCTGCAAAATATCCTCATTTTTCTCACAATTATTTGTAAATTGATTTAGGATGAATCCAAGAGGGATTAGTCAGATTAGGGAAAATAATCCAGCTCTCTTAAAATCTACATCAAACGGAGCCAATACAAAACTTTTCCTGTCTTGTTCTGCCTACTTAATAGGTACAGACAGGAAATCACATTGTCCTGAGTAGCAGATTGAAATGATAGGAAAGAATGTTTATGTGTAAAGAGTTTTACTGTAACTGAATGAAATGCTATGTTTATTTCATAAACTACAAATGACAGGAATTGACAGCCCTGCTGTGAGGATTTAACATCACACAACAACAGCTCCCTCCAGAAGCTTCATATGGCTTGGGGTGACTGTCAATTTACAGTACCTCATATGGGCGACCGTATGCCTTCTTTTAACATGTGAAGTGCTGTTCAGTATGTTTCTGAATGATTTTCTTTCAGAGGTGTTCGCAACATTAAAGTGATTCTCTTCCTTTAAAGAGAGAATAGCTTTCATGACTTAACATAGAAAGAAAAAAAAGCTTCCACAAGAAAATTCCTACATTCACACATCTCATTAGCTCCTTTGCTGTGGCTCTAGCAAAGAAAATACTATGTGAAAGAACATCATCCTCTCGTAAGTATCTATCTGGATCAGGGAACATACGTCCAGTTCGCAACCTGTCAGCAGGTACACATGAAAGCAAGGGACAGAATCATAGAATCATAGAATGGTTTGGGTTGGAAGGAACCTTAAAGATCATCTAGTTCCAACCCCCCTGCCATGGGCAGGGACACCTTCCACTAGACCAGGTTTCTCAAAGCCCCATCCAACCTGACCTTGAACACTTCCAAGGACAGAGCATCCACAACTTCTCTGGGCAACCTGTTCCAGTGTCTCACCGCGCTCACAGTAAAGAATTTCTTCCTAATATCTAATCTAAATCTACCCTCTAAACAAGAGGAAGCCTTTAATGCTTTTCAAGGAAAACAAATAACTAATGTAAATAAAAGTTATTCTTGTGAAATTAATAAGACTTGTATTCTGGGAACTACTCTGATAACTCATAGAATGCTTGCTTCCTCCCATTTTCTCCTTGTGAACTGACGAATGCATATGTTTTAGAAATATAATATAAGCCAGTCTTAAAATGCAAGTACAGTTAGAAAGAGAGACAAAATCTGTGTTGCTATGGTGTTCAAGAAGAACCTGGATAGACAAGTGGATATCAGAGCAATGCTTTGGGGTCCTGTGTCCAGTGAATGATGACTACGTGAAAATTGTGAGAGATCTAACCTGCTGTCAGAGCTCATGAAAATAAATATTTGATTTTGTGGCAAGGAATCTTTTAGCTGATGCTCAAGCTTTCCTCATCCAGTGCAGGGAACATTTTTTATTGCCAGAATCCCACTGCTTTATGCAAAGAGCATTAGGCTTATGATGAAGTGAGCTGGGCAATTAGCTTGGTTTTTCTTGGTCTGGCTATGTTAGCATTCATATAGAGGAAATAGATTGTTTGGATGGCTTTCCAGGTTAAGTTCTCAGGAGGGATTCACCCCTAACTTCTCGGCTGTCACATTTTTTTAAAGAAACTTTCCAGAAAAGCTTCTATGGAGTTCAGTTGCTTTTGCTCACAACAACTTGCACAGTGAAAGTTGTGTTTATGTTGCTATGTTCAGACATGGTCAGGAAGAGTCAAGTTAGCTAATGAGATACCAAAACTACATCCAACTGCCCTATTGAAATGAGAATTGATTATGTCCAATATTTTATTATTTACACATCACTATTTAGTAGAAGGCACTGGTTTGAGACTTGGAATTGGTGTCACATTGCTTGTCTCTAGTGGATCACGTTGATTGCAAGTAGATAAAAGATGGTATAGATATATCACTTAGAGAATATGCTGCAACTGTGGTAGAAAAAGAACATAAAGCTAAATGAAAGATTGCCTTATGACAGCCCCACTTTTCCAGACAGTGGTGAAATGTGTATTTGTAACCTCTTTTCCACTCTTTCGCATGAGGAGCATGGGTCAAGTGGCAAAACATCCCTTAAGAAAAAAAAAAAAAAGGAAATATGGCTCAAGTGGAATGATAGACCAGTCCTATTTTCAGAAAAAAAGTAGAATTAGTGAATTGATTGTATTTTTTGCCAGTCTGATTATTTAATGAAACCACAACTTTGATAAAGTTCATCTAATCATGAGATTTTAATACCTATCATCAGTATGGAGGCTAATCTTTAATTGTATTCATTTTAAAGGTCATGGACAGTGTAATTGTGGAAGGTGTGACTGTAAGGAAGGATGGACTGGGAGGAAGTGTGAACACCCACGTTCTTGTCCATTGTCAGTTGAGGAAAGTGCTAAGAAATGCCAAGGAAATTCTAATTTACCTTGCTCTGGAAGAGGTAAGCACATTTCTGGAAGAATTTTCATGCCCTTTAAATGTACTTCCATTAAAATAATTTTACAGATGTCCAGCATTACTCATACTGAAAAATGTGAACTTTCTTGGCTTACTGTGCATGAATCACAGCTGCATAACTTGTGAGTTATGAGAAGGGAGGAGAAGAATACAAAAGTTACCTATTTTTCCTGTCGTCTAGTGCTTTGTATTTTATTTTATATATCTCAACATTTGTTTTGGAGGTTTTCAAGGATGCTTTGAAGATTGCTGCACTTAAGTCTTTACTAAAGATGCATGAAAAATATGAACCTATTCTGTGCATTCTTTGACAAAACCAGCATGAGATTTTCAGCCTGTGTAGAATGTGGCACCATTGTGATAAGAGCTGTTCAGATTTACACTGCCCAAGAACCTGCCCTACTGAGTGCAGGACTAACTTCTAAAATGCAGTTTTTCTTCGGTGCAGTTTGCTAGTTAGCCACTGGCTTTTCATTTGAAAGCATTTCTTTGTGACACCATAGCCTTTTCAAAAGCTTTGACTAAAAATATTTACTAAGTCATACATACAATTGAAATACACATTGCAAGAAAAAGGAAAATTTTCTCAGAAGGAAAGGACTTGCTAATTTTCATCTGTCACTGTGTGAAACGTGGTTTTCTGCAGAGAAGAAAGAAAAGTAAATATGAGACAGACTTTCACTAGAACTGGTAATTGAAGTTGTTATGAATTATGCCCACTTAAGTATTTGCTGGGAAAGGTCTAAAATTACTCTTGAATTATTGCATTTGACCCTAAATGTAATTTCATTTGCAATTTCTTCTTTCACTAATACTATCTAACACAGTCAAAAACTGTAGACTCTCCACCCAAGCTAGCACTGTGATAATTGTATTTTTCTCCCCCTGTAAAGGTGTAGTGGCTCGTGACTTAGTAAACGCAGCATTAGCTGTATCTTAAAAGAACTATGTATTAACAGATTGTTGCTAGCTGTTTTCTTAATTAAGCTACAGTTTTCCAGAGAATTACATCTCTCTTTTCTTGATAAAAATTCTCAAAGGAATTTTTGGCTACAGGTTAGGTGAAACATGGTCATCTGTAGAGAATTAACTGCATTTTATTGTTCATGATAGCAAGAATTATAACTAAAAGAGTGTTGACATTTTATTTATTTATTTATTCATTTAATACTGGCTCACTCTTTTCCTGTTTTCATTGGCTGCTGAATGTCTCTTCTCTCATTTGCTTCACTAGGAGTTGTGTATGTTGAGCATTTGGAGTCAGTTCTATGATTTAATTGCATTGCGCGCTATGAGAGTCAAATGACAAAGAAAATAATGACAGTCATAAAAACAAGTTTAATTTGAATAAAAATACAGTCTTAAGTTATGGAACATATTGTTCTATTTATATTTTAATTTTTGAAAAGTTTTATTAAGTGTAGTGAGAAGAGTGAGTTTGAAGATTTCAATATTAATGGCAATAATTCTATCCTCTTGACTTTCTGAAAAAAACACCTGAGTATTAATGCTGGCAGTGTTCTCCTGTTGAGATACTAGCAGTGAAATAGGTCCCTTTGAGGTGAGTTCATTTGACTGAATGATCTGTTGGTCAAAATTTTCAAATAAAGTACAAGCATTATCTATTGGAACAAAAGGCTTAATTGATAGTGGCTTTCACTGAACTTCCTTCGACTTCCAAACAAGAAGAGACTACCAAGGTTTATGAGGAGTGCAAATGGCACAGACGTGGATCTAGGACATAGTATGATAGACAGCTGCTGTAATGAAGGAACAAGAGATTTCGCATTCCATGCTTGAAAAAAAATCCCCATGAAAACTGTCATTTTAAAATGGAATGTGGTATCTTGTTTTAGTTCTATGAACAATTTTGTTTAGGAAATTGGGAGAGAAAAGGAGAAAAAAAATTTTAGTCTAATCATCTGTAATTTACTGGGTAGTGTATTTTTTTACCTTGGACTCCCTGGATTTCCCTTTCTTTCATCATATTTTGGATAGAACAAAAAATGTGAGAAAGTTCCTGTACTGCTGAAGTGATGTAGGTGTTTAGTTCCTGTGAAAAATTGTCATTGGACTCGCACAGTTAAATTCTTTGGTCCCATTTGAAAATCATAGAATCATAGAATCATTAAGGTTGGAAAAGACCTCTAAGATCATCAAGTCCAACCATCAACCCAACACCACCATGCCCACTAAACTATGTCCCTAAGCACCTCATCTACCTGTCTTGTAAATACTTCCAGGGATGGGGACTCAACCACTTCCCTGGGCAGCCTGTTCCAATGTTTAACCACTCTTTCAGTAAAGACATTTGTCCTCACATCCAATCTAAACCTCCCCTGGCGCAACTTGAGGCTGTTTCCTCTTGTCCTATCGCTTGTTTCTTGGGAGAAGAGACCAACACCCACCTCGCTACAGCCTCCTTTCAGGTAGTTGTAGAGAGCGATGAGGGCTCCCCTCAGCCTCCTTTTCTCCAGGCTAAACAACCCCAGTTCCCTCAGCTGCTCCTCCTAAGACTTGTTCTCCAGACCCTTCACTAACCTCGTTGCCCTTCTCTGGACACGTTCCAGCACCTCAACGTCCTTCTTGTAGTGAGGGGCCCAAAATTGAACACAGTATTCGAGGTGCGGCCTCACCAGTGCCGAGTACAGGGGCACGATCACTTCCCTACTCCTGCTGGCCACACTATTTCTGATACAGGCCAGGATGCCATTGGCCTTCTTGGCCACCTGGGCACACTGCTGGCTCATATTCAGCTGGCTGTCAACCAGCACCCCCAGGTCCTTTTCCGCCAGGCAGCTTTCCAGCCACTCTTCCCCAAGCCTGTAGCGCTGCATGGGGTTGTTGTGGCCAAAGTGCAGGACCCGGCACTTGGCCTTGTTGAATCTCATACAGTTGGCCTCGGCCCATCAATGCAGCCTGTCCAGATCCCTCTGCAGAGCCTTCCTACCATCAAGCAGATCAACACTCCCGCCCAACTTGGTGTCGTCTGCAAACTTACTGAGGGTGCACTCGATCCCCTCGTCCAGATCATTGATAAAGATATTGAACAAGACCGGCCCCAACACTGAGCCCTGGGGAACACCGCTCATGACCGGCCGCCAACTGGATTGAGCTCCATTCACCACAACTCTCTGGGCCCGGCTGTCCAGCCAGTTTTTTACACAGGAAAGAGTACACCTGTCTAAGCCGTGAGCCACCAGCTTCTCTAGGAGAATGCTGTGGGAGACGGTGTCAAAGGCCTTACTGAAGTCCAGGTAGACCACATCCACAGCCTTTCCCTCATCCACTAGGCAGGTCACCTGGTCATAGAAGGAGATCAGGTTGGTCAAGCAGGAATCCTACTACTTGTCATTATAGCTTGTCATGGGCAGAAGTGTTACACAAGCAAATGAAACAAAATAAAGATTTCCAATCAAATGCTACCTCTTTCAAGTCTTCTGGGGTGGGAAAGGCCATGGACTTGTAACAGCACCCCCAATTTTTCTGAAGTCCATGGGGAGGATTGTGTGAGAAGGAAGGGAAAGTTCCAAAGGAAATCTAAGAGTTACCTTTTCCATTTGAACATTATTGTTTTAGTAACCTTGTAATATTTTTCTCCTGGCTATGGTACAAGGACAGTAAGTCCTTGTACAGGTCAGTAATCCACCGCACTGCTGGAGAAGTTGAGTACTTAACGTCCTTATTTAATGGGATCTTTTAGTAAGGCAGTTCATGTATGGAATAGGGTGCAGAATGGAGAGCCCAGAGATGCAGGTGCATGACTTAATGACTTTGCCATGTATTGTGTTTCCTTAAAAAATGTTTTCTATTCATCTGTACCTTTTGTTTCTAGGTTAGTCAACAGCAGTTGTGACAGCTAACGTACTCTTTTGCAATCACTTTTATGGTCTTGGATAAAGGCATTGAAGAACAAAGCATTTTTAGGATTTTTAATGCCATACAGATAACCAAAATATGTAGGGAGAAAAAGATAGAACTGTTACAATTCATAGTCTCTCTCTATAGTCTCTGTCTAAATGCTGACTTATGCTCAGATTTTCAGGTGGAGGACTTTGAAATTTCAGTTGTGGTACTCTGTTCCCAAGATTAACAAAAATTATATTTCGTAGATGGTGTTTTCTTGTTGAAATGTTAAGTATGATTTCAAAATGTGATAATCCTTCACTTAAACAGTAGTAAAAAAAATCCATGCTGCCTGAGGAAGCATTGAAGAAATAGTTCTTCAAAGCTTTGTCTGGCCATTTTTAGTTTTTTGTGCATTTTGCAAAACTTTCTGATATGGAAGACTATAAAACTCCCAATGATTCAGCTTCAGTCTTTAAAATCTCCAATAATAATTACAGAAGGTGAACCAGAAGAAAAAAAAAAAGGAAAAAAACCTGAAACCAAGCCACCAAATCCTCTAAATTCCTCATTAAAAAAAGGTTTGGGGTTTGTATATTTTTGTGTCAGAGGTTTGGGATAGTGGGGGCTTACATTAAAAAAAAAAATAATCCTTTGTTTCACTTCACAAAATTTTATAATATTAGCACAAAAACCATGGCAAAATTATACTGTTTGAAAATTTTCAAGCAGCCTGAGGGACCAGAAGCTTCCATCTTTGAACTTAATTTTGGTAAGGTGCTTATTTTATACCTTATACATTGTTTTTACAGGTAGTGATGAATGGAAAAGAGAATGTTAGCCTAATCTTACTCTTTTTTTTTCTGATTCAATGACCCAATATGTTTGTAATATTAAATTTTCATACAAAGTACTGGGTTTTTATATAAATGTACCCAAATTTTTGTTAGTTACCTTTAAGGCAAATTATGTTCCTACATAGGCAGAAATAGAGAAAGCATCAGCAATGCAAACAAAGAGAATTGTCACGTGCCACTCAGATTTTGAGAATCCCAGGTTCCCTTAACTATGTCACGTAACTTCAGCAAGAGAAAAAAAGATATAGGAAAAAAATTAACAGTGAAAGAAAGCTTTTTT